AGGTAACCACAGCTTATTGTGAAGACTTCTGAGTGTCCCTTTCTTATTTCTGAGCTGTGTTTGAGTAACATCACAGCTGGCTTTCACAAGGCAACTCCCAGTCAAGGGTTTGGAGTGGTGAATGGAGTTGAAAAGTGGTGAACTGGTAGATTTTTCACCTTGTCTGCCTCTTCCATTTCAGGCTGTTTGTGGCTATTTTGCTCCTTTGACTGAATGAAAATGAATGTGCATCTAGATGATGAGTGATGGTAATTGTTTCTGCCTGATCAATAACGATACTGGGAGAACTGTGTTTGAAGAAAGCATTGCTGTATTTGTCTTTGTGGAATTGAAGTTCCTGTTGATTCACAAGGTGTTCGTAGCATTTTGTCTGTAAGGAAGACTGTACCAGTTTTTCTTTTATAAATTTATGACAATAATTAACCATGAATAATGGGTTTGTCATTGCAAGATAAAATTGCTTCCTTTTGAGATGCTTGCTTTCTAATAGCAGTAACAAATGGTTCATTTTCATAGTTCTGCTTGACTTCTTGAATATGAGCTCTCCAGCTGTTTAGCCAGCCTAATCAAGTGGCTTGATGAAAAATAGTTCCATCTGCAGTCAGGCTTCATTGCATAAAACGTGTTTGTTGTGTCCTAATCTTCTTCTCTCACAGTTCCCAGAAATTGCGATTAACTCGTACTCCTGTGCCCCCATTTCTGATGAAGAGGGACCAGTCTGAAGAGAAGAAGATTCCCAAAGGGGTTCCGTTGCAGTTTGATATTAATAGTGTTGGAAAGCAGGTAAATGCAGTTTCATTCCTTAAGTGTGGATGTAGTTTCAATGCAGATCAAATCTGGTGAGCCAAGCACTTTCTTCCTAGACTCACTGGTGATAAAAAGTGGGAACTAGTGACTGCTTCTTGTTTCCACTTCCAGTTCTTCCACTAACTTGCAGTGTAACTTCAAGCAAGTACCTGAACTCACTGTTCCTGTTCCTCTGGTTTATATCTTACATGCCCACGTGATTTAACTGGGATGTAAATTGCTAAATGTTTCTAAATCCTTCTGGTGTTCCTGCTGTTCTTAAATCAACTACTGTGTGTAATTCAGGGATGAGCTTCATTTGGTGGCATAGCCTGTATGGAATCCTGAAGTTAATTTATAGAGCAACTTTTGCTGTGTGCCTAGGGGTATTTAAAACAAGGAGGAAAAAAATCAAGTATGATGACATAAACACTTGAAAGATGAGAAAATGTTCACTGTTATAATGAAGTTAAGTGATTAGATGCAGAAATCTTAGTGTTGTCCTTGAAGGAATTCCTACTGGCTGACAGAGGGTTGGATGATGGAGAACTTGACCACAAGAGGAGACTGTTCTTGTAATCAGCTTCTTACTGCCATCTGCAGGAAAACTATGTGGGGTCAGGGCATGGGTCTGGATTTGTTTCTTCTGTGAACAAGCAATATGCCAAAAATAGTCTGCTGCTGCATTGGAGCAGCTATTGAACTTCTGGTCTGGACTTCAGTCTGCAGCCTCAACTGGATGAAGTGGAGAGAAGCTACGTTATAGTGCTTAAACAGCTGCATTTGTTCAAGTTGCATAGAATCTGTAGGGAGAAATGGGTGTAGTGGAAGTGTCCTTTTTCAGTCTGTCTGTCCTCAGTTTAACTTTTCTACATTTTTCTGAGGAGGCTGTCAGTCTTGACAATGTGTGTGAGCGAATTCCAAGAAATGGAAGCTCTTGACTTTGCAGTGGTGCCAGGAGGGGCTCAACAAAGTTCAACTTCTTCTTTTCCAGACAGGGATGACACTGAACGAACGTTTTGGGATCCTGAAGGAACAAAGAACAGCGCTGTCTCAGAACAAAGGGAGCCGTTTCGTAACAGTGGGCTAAACCTGACCAATGGACGAGCACTGATCCCACCTGTCTAAGAAAGTGAGATAAAAGTGGGCAGCAGAATGCATAAGTCACTGAAATTCTCCAGACTTCTTGCTAAGGTGGTGTCAGAAATAGCTATCTTTATTACTTCCACTTTGAACAGTAAAGACATTTTGCCCTGAAAGGAGGGAAGAGTGTGGGAACTGTTCTGCTAAAGTGACACCATTACCCGGTTGGAACAGATTCTGTTGCCCAGATGTTGACAAACACTGATTTTGGTTCATCTTGCAATCAATATATAAACATGAAGTTAAAAGCTTTTTTTGTTTGTTTAAAAGTACTCAGTATCTGTTCTTTGACACCTTGTTATAGTAAAGATTGTGTCAGTGTTTCATTACAGCTACCATTTTATGGTGTTGGGGTCTGCCTACGAACGTTCCTCTGGACTGAAGTTTGGCACAGAGCCTCGGTCCGTGAATACTTTGGTAGTGATGTAGCAACATTTTTCATGGGAGCATTGGTTGTACTTCTTTGTGCTTTTGAAGTTCAACTTTTTTTCTTTTCTTTCTTGAAGACTTAATGTTTTGCATCCTCTTTTTCACAAATAAAGCTGTTAGTTGAGACCCGTGATATTAAATCGGGATGGAGACCATTCTACTCTTATCCTTTAAAAGTGGTCCAGGTCACTTCAGAAGAATACTGCTCAGGCAATGTGAAAGCAACTTATACTACAAATATCTGGGCAACTTTAGCATCATCTGCAGATAGAGTATGTCTTGTCTCCTATCTTTTTCCTTGAGCAGCTGCTTACTATTTTCTTTTGTAAGTGTTGTTTTTTTCCTCAAACTGAAGGCAATAACCTTACATTTTTAAGTAATTTCATAGGAATAAATGTAACAGTTCACAAGAAGGTCAGTGGTATGGTAGAGTTCCTTACCCCCTAGGTACAGGATCCTTATCTTGCAAACCTTGCCCTGAAGGCTTTTCTCTGCTTTGTGCAAATGGCCAGAAGCATGCAATCCAATGGCGCCTGTTTGTATATACCAAAGAGAGGTGAGATGTAAGGCTCAGCAGTGGTCAGGCATCTTGAAGCTGGCTGAAGGTGGGGAATGTTGCTGGGAGAAAGCCTGCAGTCCAGCAGTGTAGGTGAGGCATTAAAGCAGGAGCACGTGGACACTTACGTGAGGCTTGGCTTTGTGTGTCTGAATTTGCAGGATGGTAACAACTGAGTCATTGCCAGTATTGGTTTGTATCATCCCTAAAGGTGGGGGACCTGTTCAGAATGAACATACAGATAAAGCCGCTTCCAGCCCAGGTTCTGATCGACTGAACCTTGTTCTACAGCAATGCAATTGAGGTACAGCCAGGTGAAGGAATGGTCAGCTTGCTGCATCCATCAACATCTATGGTGTTTGGAATGGTTTTAATTCTTTTTATTTTTCTTGAAGAGTTTACATTGAACTTCTTACAAAACCAGTTTCCTTGTGTTTTTATCTCAAGTTCGTTGTTCGCTCACGTTTACTGGAGACTTCAATGTTTAAAAGCGTTGACTGTAGAAGAGCTTTCATCATGCAGCAATTTTAAGTCAGAATGCATCCTCGATGCTATATAGTACTTAAACCCTTATTTTTGATGTTGACAAATACACCTTAGCAGAAACAAACCGAGCGTAATGGTGTTAAGGTGGTTTTTTCTTAATTACTGGTAGGATTTTTTCTGAAAATTCTCACTGTTAGAATTTGAGTAAATAATGTGGTGTTGCTCATTCTGTTTCAGTGTATACATTTTCCATGTGCCAGGATGCAACAACAAAAAAAATCCTTTTGCATCAACGTAGATGCAAAACATTGATGCAATGCATCAAAAAATACCAGTTTGTATTTAATGAGAAGATGCTTTACACTGTACCTTTTGGTATTTTTTGAAGAAGTTTGATCTATTCTGAAGCTGTTAATTTTTTTTTTTTTTTTTTTTTTTCCAAATAAAGTTAAAGGTTTCATACTGTCTTGTTGCTATTATAACTGCTTGGGCAACGTGTTGGTTTTGTGAATGTTCTGGTATTTTTCTTAAGGAGCTGTGAATGATCAAATTGTTATTAAATGTTATGAAGAAGGTAACAGTAAGCAGAGTAAAGTAAAGAGGGCATGTGCTCATTGCTCATATCCTGCAATTAATCACTTACTGCAGTGGTGCTGTGTAAGCTCACTTGCCTTTACAAGAATTAGGGATGTGCTTTCCAGCAGCACTGTCAAATCCCGTGGTTTGGTGTGGTTATCACACCAGGTCCCTCAACCTGTCTGCGTACTCATTTTGCTGTGATGTGCCTTGCTAATGCAGAGTCCGTGCAATCCCTGCTTTGTGCTGCAGGGTGGGTGTGAACACCCCGATAAGCGGCTGCAGCAAGCTTCTGCAGTGAGTGCTTGGTGGCAAATCGGCCTAAAGCGATAGCGATGCTGTCGTTAACTGGTGGTGGAGGAACAAAGCACTGCTTGTATGGAAGCGTTGGATAAGGTGCTGACTGGTGAGTGCTCCCAGCACAATGACCGTCTGCAGCACGGGAGCCGTATGGCCGCCTGCTTCAGCCGTGTGGCAGTGTCGTTCTGAGCAGCTCTCTGCTTTCTGCTGGCATTTATTGACAGCCAGAGAATCGAATCGCAGCGTGTCCTGAGCTGGAAGGGACCCATGAGGTCCAACTCCTGGATTCATCTACCATCACCCAGAACTCAGGTCTGATAGGTCTGTTACAAACACCTTTCAAGCTTTGGTCCTGCCATGGGAAAGCACACAACAGCTCCTATTTTCCCACTTCGCTCAAAAATCCGCTTTTTTTATTCCCTTTTTCTTTCTTTGCTGCTGACGGCGCACTGAGCGGCAGCGTCCCACACCGCCTGGCACCTAAACTAGAGCTTTCCACGCTGCCGGCGCTGCAGCCGTTGTCGAGGGCAGGTGCGCACCCTCGCACACCGGATTACCGAAACAACTGACAAAAAAACCCTAAGCAATGGCCGCTTTCCGCCGTTTGTTAGCCAGGTGCCGGGTAAGGGACGGAGGGAACCTTGCGGCCGCGCGTGCGCGCCGCGCGCCCCCTGTCAAGGCACGCGCATGCGCTCTCGCCGCCAGTCGGCGGGTTCTCCTGCGCCTGCGCGGCGGCGCGCGAACGGAGCGGCGGAGAGCGGCTGGGGCTGCGCTGCGAGGGGGGAAATGGCGGCCGCGGTGCTGGCGGCGCCGGAGGGCGGCTCCACCGCGATGCCGATGGGGAGCGCGGCGACGTGTCCTCCTCCGGCCGGTCCCGCAGGCCCCGGCTCCTGGAGCCGATCCTTAGACCGAGCTTTGGAAGAAGCGGCGGCCAGCGGCACGCTCAGCCTGAGCGGCAGGAAGCTGCGCGATTACCCGCGGGCCAGCGCCGCCAACCACGACCTCAGCGACACCACCCGAGCCGGTGAGAGACGGGACGGGACGGGACGGGACGGGAGGGGCAGCGCCCGCAGCGCCGTGCCCGGCCCCGAGGGCGGAGGGGCGCGGTGGGGCCACGGGGTTCCCGGTGCCCGCTATCAGCGATGCCGTGCCGCCTCCCGAGCCGCTGCGCCGCGCGGTTCCGCTCCCCGCCCTTCTCGGCTCTCCGCCGGGGCGCGTTGGGGTCTGCCGGCGGCAGGGCGGGGATCCCTCCGTAAGGCTGGGCCGTTCTGCCTCCCATTCGGTGTTTCCGAGGATGAGTTTTACAGAGGCTTTTTGCGGCACCTTCTGCTCGCGGATGTGGTTTTTGCCAGCCAACTTCTTGTTTTGGTGTACGTGCAGACATCTGTGTGTGTAGACATCTCTGTGTGTGTGCACGTACCTGTACGCACCTCCTGCTCCTTACCCTGCCCTGCCGGCTGCCAGGTGTGCTGAAGGCAGAGCTGTGAGCACCTGCTGCCGCTCTGCTGCTCGTGGTTTGGGTTTGTAGCTCCTCGAGACAAACGTGGTGAGTTTGACTTGAGAGCCTCTCTAACGTATAGCTCCTTGTCGGGGTATAAACTGCTGTTTGTCTGCTTTGAAGGGCTCTTCACAAATGCATCTCCACGATGGATGCACAGGGGGTTAATCTGCACTGAATGCTCCATACGTTGGTGGGAGATTGGGGCTTTTTGTTTATAATGCCATTCACTTACTGTACTCTTAAACAATTTGTGGGAATTCTTGTTTCCACCAAGGTTCCCATCTATTGTGATGAATATTTGCATTGTCGTTGTTCAAGAAGCATTAAATTCTAATAAGCTGCAGTGCATGCCGTACACTTTTGTCTGCTTGTTATCACAGTGAGCCTTACCAAGAGCAACAACTGCTCCTAAGTTGTAAGAAGCAAAGCTTGTTAAATGAGGGGGGACATATTCTTTGAATTGTCAGCTTTTAACACCACTGTGGATAACTACGTTGTGTACTTTATTATTGTTGTGGGTTTTTTTGTCAGTGCTGTTTATTCAATGACTTTTTTGCTTTGGAAAAGGCTGAGGCAGTGAATAAACTCCACACAGGCGTTTCTTATCCTCAGTTGTCAGCTGGGTGCTCAGGTACAGGTTTAGTCCACACCTTTCTCAGTGTTGATTTCTTTGTGTTGTGAAACTTGCAGCTACGTGGTGGTAGCCACAAATAGCACTGTAACAAGCATAGATGTGTGCTAGGTGTAATAAACACCTAAAATAACCCACTGGAGCTTAGACTGGAGACTTGGTGCCTTCTTGCATGTTGTGCTGCAAGGACTTGAAGCACGTTTGATGTTCCCCAAAAAATCAATGGAATTGCTTCACAGCTGTAAAAATGAAGGTGAAAGAATATGTATTCAAATCTTAATCCGTTTTATGTGCCAGAACAGGCGCTTCTCTGGCATGAATCATGTCGTACTGGTACAGCTCATTCCCATTCCTGCAGTAACAAAAATAATTGCACATTGCTGTTATTGCCTCCATCTTCAAGATGTGGCAGCAAATCGCATCCCTCATTTATGCAACTACGCTGCTAAAAGTGGCACCCAGCGTAGCCCCAAGCCTTAGCAGAACCAACAGGCTTGCCTGGAAGGAGGTGTTGGCACAGTTGAGCCACTGAGGCGGTCAGCAGGAGGAGCAGGGTTAGCTGGGTACCCAGTGCAGGTTTTGAGGTCGGTGATGTGAGGACACAATCAGATATCAGCCCCAAAAAAGTGCATTTTGAAATGGGAAATCCTTGTGAAAGGCGTGGGATCTTCCTTAGGCCAGGAGTTGGTGGTTGTGCTATCTGCAGTGCTCAGGCTGCAGTAGCTGCTTGTTGCATAAACTCATTTCCTAATTCTATTTGCTAACAGAATAAATAGTTTCACTTGAATGAGGATTCTAGAGGTATTTACTCCACCAAACCCCAATTCATGTAACCTTACTTAAGCAGCTTATATTCCCAGCTTATATTCCCCCCCCCTCATTTGTTTTACCTGCTTTCCAGGTGGCTCTGGACTGCATTGAGATCATTAGTGGCTAAGAGTCCAAAATACCTACAAAATGGATGTGATGAGCACAGTTCAGGACAGGCAGTACTGCTTTGCTTTCTGATTGAAAGCAAAATATGAAAGTAAGGGTTTATTTAAGTGCTAACCTACTGTACTGCTTTAACACCCTCACATTTGGTAAGTATATTTTGCTGCAGAACAGTAATTTTTAATTGACTGTTTTTTTTTCTGTCATTAATACTTTGTCAGACCTCTCTGAGAAGGAAATTAAAAGTAATTAAAGAACAAACACTGAAAAGAGAGTCCTGAAGGAGGGCTGTGCTCAACAAGTATCCCGAAAGCAATTACTGTTTTTTATTTTAATCAAACTGTAACAAATACCAGTTATTGAAAGGATGTGTTTATTTCTAGCGCATACTAGGAATAAATACTTGAGCTTTTTCCTACATGGTGTTTCTATACAGTTTTCAGGGCAAATTGCATGCAGCTCCTCCTTGTCACCTGGCTGCAGTAAGGGAATAAACAGAAGATTTGTTATGTGGGAGTGGGAAAACCAGGTTCCTCATGCAGTCGCTGGCCTCAATCACAGAACTCTTTACAGGAAATATCACAGCCTCAGCTGCCTCTGGGTGCTGCTGCCGTCCAGCTGCCGAAGCCCCGTGCATTTGGAACCACTGCTCAGGGCAGGTAGTGGAGTTTATACTGAGTTCCTGGCTGTTTCGTACTCAAGCTGGAGTTAAGATCACATAAGAGGTCAGGATTAGAAGAGAGAAAAAGCAGCTTAGAATCACGCTGGAGGTGGTCCATGGGCTGCGGTGGGTGAGCAGGAGGGCAGCTGGTGGTGTGTGTGATGCAGCAGTCTGCTGTCCGTGTGGGATGGCTCGTGCCCAGGGAGTGGTGATGATGGTCACCTGGGCACTGAGGAGGGCAGGCAGCTGTTCCTCCTGCTCATCCCTTGCAGCTCGGGGGTTTAGGAAATGACTCAAGATTACAAATCCCACTGATGATGAATAATGAGGAAACTTCGTTAGCAAGGCAGGGATGTGTGTCTCTTTGGTTCAAGCTCCTTCATTTAACAGCCGTTATCCATCCCTGTTTTATCTGGATTGAATTATGACCCGTTTGTCATTCCACTCTCGTTTTCAACCGTGGAATAGGAAAAGAAGTGGCTGTAAACCATCCGAGTTAGATTTGAAAGGAAACGGAGTTGCGTTTTGCCAGTTGTAATGCAGACTCTGATGTCATTGTTTGACAGCCTTCCCAGTGGCCTGAAGCATATATTGAGCAGAGGGACGATTTGTCAGACCCACCATGACAGCTGTAATTACCTAAACCACTCGCTGTCTCCATTTTTTAAGGAGAAAATGGGGATGTGTGGGTTTATGTGATATAAGAAATGACATGGCAATGGACTAGTGAGGTAATTATGTGCTGAGCACTATGTCTTGCTTCTGGAAGATGCTAATAGTGAAAAAGGGCTCTGAAAAGGAAGGAAAAAACTGCCTACTGCTGCCTGTTGAATGACTTTGCCATTAAGGTATCTGTGGCTCCCTTTATAGCAGCTCTTCACAGAAACTGTAGAAGCCGAATGTACTCTCAGTAAAATTTCTGTATGCTCAGTGCTTCTTTGCATTTATTTAGACTACAGTGGCCGTATGAGCATTCTGCAGTAAGAAGTCTCTCTGGTATCCTTGTTCCTGCCAGAAGTTCAGTTGCAGTTACTCGATGAACATCGAATGGGTTGAGAGGTGCGTTGTGGCTCTACAGCACTGCTGTGTTTCCCAAACGTTTGTTCAGAAAAGCCACAACAGCAAAGGCTGAACCATGCTAAAATTTAATGACTGTTTGAACAAAACTCTTCTGGGTTGCTGTATCTTGAATGAAATTCATGATGGTTTTTGGGGTGGCTTGGAGAGGAGCGAGGCGGCCCTCTGCTCAGGTGAAGGGATGTCTGACTGCAGGGCTTACAGTGCAGTGATCTCTGTAGTTTCATTATTAAACTCTGAAGCTTAATGTTTCATTAGAATAGTTCAGAGCTGTTCTCAGGTACACAGATTTGCCTCCACCCTTACCAAAGTGGAAATGCGCTGTGCAGTGGTTCCGTGCATGCCTGGAGAGGAGGAGGGACAATGATGCTTTCCCCAGACTGTGTGACTTAGTGAGCAGTGCTCTTTAGTTGTAGGCAGCTGCATTTTTTGGTTTTATCTCCTAACTGTGCTTCATAATTTGACCATTGCTCCCATCTGGTTTCTCTCCTGTTAACACTTCTGTTACTGGATGGTCTGGATCATGTGTGTGTCCCATGCGTAAATACCAGCAGTTCCTAGGATAATAGGGTTGAACTTGAGCATGGTGCTTTGATAAATCCAGGTCTTGCTTTTTTTGTTACTTTTTAAATGTGGAGAGAAGCTGACTGTGGTTGTTAAATACTTTGTGTTGAGTTTTGATGGAGGCTGAGGCTTGCAGTGCTGCTCACAGCTTCTTGGTGCTCAGGTGGTCTTTTTGCTTTGTGTTTTACAGAAGCTGGGAAAATGGAGTCTGAGCTTGTAGTCTCTGAGCCTTGTTGCAATAAAGATATTAATGACACTTGGAACATCCTTATTTCAATGAGTTGATTTAGGAAAATAAAAATAAAGGAATCCCACAGTCCAACTTTTACTACCAGTAAACCCTTCTAAGTGTTGCTCAGAGTTACGTATGCTTTTAGTGACTTCTCCATAGTGTTCCACTTCCCCACCTCAATCTTAATCAGATCTTTTTTTTTTAATAAATACTAATCTGTGTGCACAGTCTTAATTATTTTTGAGTACAACTGTAGCTGTGTAAGAAGTGGAGAGGGGTGAGAGATTCTGCGTGAAAGACTTCCTCTATTTTAGGAGGAAGTGCTTCACACCCAGAGGGTGGTGAGGCGCTGGAACAGGTTGCCCAAGGAGCTGTGGATGCCCCATCCCTGGAGGCATTCAAGGCCAGGCTGGATGTGGCTCTGG